AAAAGAACAATCCTGAGAGGCTAAAAGAGAGTATTTTTAAAAAGTATAAAGGTCTTCAAATGACAAATGCCTACCACAATATTCTGAACACATAGATCCAACCTTGAAACCGGTGACAAATCTGAAAGTTGACGTCCTCTGGGATGACGTTAAACCTACTGATTAAGTGAGAGAAGAGACTTCTCTCGTCCCAAAAGAAAGAAAGAAGGAAAAAAAAAAAAAAAGTATAAGAAGGAAAACTATGCATTACACAGTAAAGACTTGTAAATTAATGGTCAGCAATATACCAGCAGGAAACCATGACTATTTACCTTGTTGCACATGGGTTTGCAGTACTGAGTATTGTCAATGGTGACACACACCAGCCCACCATTGCTAGGTGCTAGTGGGAGCGGGCACGGAGGGAGCTGCTTGCAAACTTTCCAGTGGGTTAGGGCAAAAAAAAAAAAAAAGAGAGAGAAAAACAACACATCAGAGTGAAAATGAATATAGAAGCCTCCCCTTCCCAAGCAAAGCCTAGGCATACCCATTGACCTGGGCATGGTTGATAAGTGCCCCCACTAGCTGACTTGATCAAAGTAAGCATTTTTCCTTGTTTAAAAAAAAATTATGTTTTTCTTGGCAACACCCAATTTTTCCATCACCTGTCACTGTGGCAGCAAAGTCTCTGTTACACTTTAAGTGGCATTTGCCTTCACAGCGCTGCCAGTCAGTACTACCGTGGCCAAAATTATCCAAATAGTTACTGGAAAAATATAACTGAAGTGTCTCTTCCCAGCCATGGGAGAGGCAGTTCCGGAGGCCAGAGCAGGCTCTGCTGCCTCCGTGACCCTGGAGGTCATGGAGATTTGGTGGCTGGGCTGTGGGGACAGTGACACCCCGTGCGTTGGTGCTGCCCTGCATCCCACACACCTGCCTGCACAGTGGGTAAGCACCTTATCTTTCTACCTTGTGGCTGAGGTGTCTTTTATCTTATTTTCTTCCTCCCCCCCCCAAGAAATGCAGACACTTAGCTCGCTCTGGCTATAGATAAAAAATATTTCCTTAGTGCTTCTCCACTGGCACTTTGTCCAACGCCCAGCAAAGAGGAGCATGGGGTCGGTTCAGGAGGGGCCTCACATTTCTCCTGAGCAGCCCGCAGGCGATCCAGGGCTTCTTGCAGTGTCCAGATGAGGAAATTGATTGAAGCTTTCTCACCCTTGGCAATCATGTCATTAAAGCATTTTGAATATTTCTATGGAGTCAGGGGAAAAAAAGGCTAAGTTGAAGAGGAAAAGGCCTTGAAATTAATTTAGGAAAGTAGTCAAATATTTTTTCTTTTTTCCTTCCCACACGCCTGCCTGCACAGTGGGTAAGCACCTTGCCTTTCTACCTTGTGGCTGAGGTGTCTTTTATCTTATTTTCTTCCTCCCCCCCCCAAGAAATGCAGACACTTAGCTCGCTCTGGCTATAGATAAAAAATATTTCCTTAGTGCTTCTCCACTGGCACTTTGTCCAACGCCCAGCAAAGAGGAGCATGGGGTCGGTTCAGGAGGGGCCTCACATTTCTCCTGAGCAGCCCGCAGGCGATCCAGGGATTCTTGCAGTGTCCAGATGAGGAAATTGATTGAAGCTTTCTCACCCTTGGCAATCATGTCATTAAAGCATTTTGAATATTTCTATGGAGTCAGGGGAAAAAAAGGCTAAGTTGAAGAGGAAAAGGCCTTGGAATTAATTTAGGAAAGTAGTCAAATATTTTTTCTTTTTTCTTTTTTTTTTTTTTAAATGCAGAGCAAGAACGAGCTTGAATATTATATAGCTTAATTAACCCTGATTTCCCCATAATCTTTTTGAAAACAGTGACTAGGTAGGATTTTTCCATTATAGTGAGTTCAAGATAAAGAACTGGTATGGGTTGGTTTGGGGGTTTTTTTCTAGATATGAAAAGATGCCTTTATAAACAAATATGTGCATTGTCTTTCTATACAAAACACTGGTTTGTTATTCTTATCTTCTAACTGCTGGCATCTTGTAGACTTTCTGTCTTTTTTTGTGTATGTAAAAATATATGTTTGTGAATGTGTGTAAAGAATAAAGTTCCTGTATTTTTATCTGGCTATTGCTCTATATCCATATAAATAGCTTTCAGTCCATATGTGTGTGCCTATGAACATACATGGACTATGCAGAGCTGTGGTAAACTCCACAGCCAAACACAACATCATAATGGACACCAGTTACTTTGAGCTTACACAAATGCAAGAAAAAGTGCAAGTCCAATTTTCAGTGGTGGCTACTGAAGCCAGCAATGGATAACTCTGCTTCTCTGGCTGCAGCTTGCAGAAACATTGTTGAAAGCAATGGGCATCAGTCATACAAAGAAAATAATGTAATTCAAATGTCTGGGGGAGGAAAAAGCCTCAACCACTGGGAGAATATCTCCTCTGCAAGTGCTGCCCTCGGCCTTTTTTCTGCCCTGTGTGATGAGAGCAATACTCCAGGCAGAAGCTGATGGTCTGTACTGATATGTGGACCCCAACTCCAGCTATTAGCTCCGTGTTGCTGTTTTACAGAAAAATGTCTCAATCACGTGTGACATGTATTTTTTTATAGGCCGTGCCCTGGCAGTGCTTTACCATTTCTGCCATGTTCAAGGGTCACTGTCTGGTCACTCACTCCCTTATGAAATGCCGGGCCCCGAGGAGACAGGGCAACTAATCCATAAAACACAAGCTTTCAGCTGACTGGCTTTACTTGCATTTAACATACTTAGCACTTTATGTTTGAAAGTAGGATTTAAAAAGACATTATGCATGTAAAGCAAAAGACATAAAAGCAATACACAGGTTGTGCCCTGCGGAGGCGGCAGGGCCCTGCTCCTCCTGCCACCACAGAAGGTGTGGGTGAGGCAGGTCCTGTCTTGGCCGAGGCAGCCAACCTCTTACCTCCAGGCTCTCATTCACATCATCTATGGTCGCACTTTCACATTCTTTTGGGCTGGCAAAGGCTCCGGCTTCAGTAAAACCTAAAAGGCAAACAGAGCTGGTTAATAACCCCTTCTGACACAAGCAAACCCCAAATACCACATAACACTCCTTGTTTATGGAAATTGTGGCACTATGCTGCAGCCCTAGTGCTACCTTGTATACCTGAGGCAATCAGGTCTCAAACATGAATAAACTGTGCAAATATTGATTTATTCTAAACACTCAGCCATCTGATTCCCCGTCTGGGGGCACCCAGGGCTGGGCTCCCAAGTGGGATGCTTCATTTCTCTACGACAGCCACTATTTAAATAATTGTTAGTCATAGTCAAGAATGGCAATATCTTACCTGCAAGAAGCACTGCCGAACTTATAAAAAACAGTGTTTTCCAGTACAAGCAGGAGCCGAACAGCATTTTGTGTGCGGGAGACCAGGGGCTAGTTACTTGTTGCTTGCAGAGCCGTAAGGGCTGAGGCATGGAGTCAGGCACCAAACGGCATGTCTGTGGGTCACTGGCTGCTGACATCGTGGCTGGCTCCCACCCAGCACTGCGATAAGGGGATGCACATATTGCCCAACTTGCTGGGAAGCCAGCGGGCAGTTTGCCAGCAGGGCTTAGGGAGGGCAAGGGGAGGTTTCTCCTTACCCTACTGAGGCAGTCTGGCTTCCCTGCTGCTGCCAACCCCACCGGGACTTTTTCAGATTAACTGGTTTACTGTAAACATGTTTAGTGTATGCACACCCTGGCACGCTCTTGCTCTCCCCCCCTCCCCGCATCTGCTTGTGTTTGTCTGTCTCCCTCTCACACACATATATACAATCATATAGAAAACATAAGTACACCTTACCTGCAGGGCTCAAATCTGTGTATCACACTCCAACAGAAAGCTTGGAACATCAAATGATGGTTTAACAGATTTGGATCAGGGGGAATGTGTTCTACATCCTGCAGCATCCAGAGTTTTGCTACCTGGTAGAGAGAGCAAGTTACGGTTTCCAAT